CGCCATCACGCTATTATCCGCTAGATGGCGCTTATTTCTTGCATTCCTGTGAGAAATTATGTCTTTGCAAAAATGTGACGTGCAGGAAATTCAAGAAATATGTAAACGCTATCTACTGTTCATTCAATATTAATAGTCGCAATTTCTTGAAATATTTTCTGAGAGGTTATTTGGTTGCTAATTGAAAAATAAGTAATCTGCCAGGTAACCTTTCAGAATTTATTGCGACTAATAATACTCGCAATTTACACCTATCCTTGCACCCCAGCAAAAAAATATGCCTCTAAAAAAATCACAATTTCTTGCACTAGTGTTTCCAGGCCGTTTTTGTGACGGCAAACACATCGATTGCAAGAAGGGGAAAAGATACGAGTTTACTACCAAAATCCGTAGGGCGTACTCACGTCAACATCTTATTTCGCATTGGGGACTCATTTAACAAATAATTTGCGAAATAAACTTTCAAAATAAAAATATTCTGGGTAAATTTTCCTACAAAAATTATATATTTCCTAGCAAATGTTTTTTCTTCCAAATATTTCAAAGTCATATAAAAAATATTTATATTTTCAAATTCCAACTATTCTCTATTAGACATGCACCGAGTACTCGGCGCTGCCAAGTACTCGGCAGGTTTTGGCCGTGTTCTCACTACTCGGACTCGGCCGAGTATTTTTGCGTACTCGGCCGAGTATTTCTTACATTTTTATATGCATCCAGTACCACTTTACCCGGTATTTACACCGCGCAGTTCAAATTATCCATCATGGGATTTTTGCAATCAACATCAAACTTACTTGAAAAATACACCAATGAAATTTGTTACTTCTATCCGGTAATCAACTTTAATCGAAATGTTGGAACAGGAAGAAGAATCAGTAGCTTCACGTGATTCCGTCCACCAGTTCTCAAAATAATGATACTGGTGGTTAAATATTATGTAAACAATGATTTTTTTTATGATCTTTTTGACAATTTACTCGGTGGCCGAGCCTTGCTCGGTACTCGATTGCCGAGTTTTGCTCGGTGCTCGGCAAACGAGCAGAAACGAGTACTCGGCAAAAATATAACCGAGTACTCGGTGCTCGGCCGAGTCGACTTTTTCGGTACTCGGTGCATGTCTATTCTCTATTACCCAATATTTCTGTGAGTGCATTCATCTTCGTTCCGCAGCCTTTGTACATACAAAAACCGACTCTTTTTTATTACAAATGCGAATTTTCTGCACTCGAGTTTCCTTTTGCCAGCACACAAATGCAATAATAACACATTTTGCTAGCCCATCCACCACCACTCAGTGGCCGCGGAAGCGTATGGACAGAGGGGCAAGGTCCTCACGGTTGTTCGATGTTCACATCATCTCTCCATCTTATACAAAATAATACAAACCCGTTCCTTTCTTATCCTACAATTTTACTGTCCCCACGGCTTTCGCGGCAACTGAATCCTACTTCACCTTTTAACATAGTCCTAATCCCAGTGGCCGCGGAAGCTTGAAGGGACAGAGGGACTATGTCCTCACGCTTATTTGATGTTCGCATCATCTTATACAAACCCATCACTTCCCTATCCTACAATATTAACGTCCCCAGATGCTCCCACACCTTCCGCGGCCACTGATTACCACCAGCCCTGCCTATGTTTATCCCACACATTGCCATTAATCAAGGCGGTGTATGTACATACATTCGCAGCGACCTTGCAGCAGCCCACTAACCATTCCGATGGATCAATCCGTCCCCATTATTATTATTTCCGTCCATGCCCACCACTAAACGATGTTTGTCTTTTCTGCCTCGATCGTGTCACCTGCGATGCGAGGATGACGAGTCGATTATTTCTTTCCCATTCGCCAACCCACTTTCACCTCGCTTAGTTTTCCCTAATCGGACACAAATTGGGGGATACATGCAATCTTTTTGGTGACAGTTTGTCGCCAAAAAATCCGCATTTTTATAGCCCACTTTCACCTGGTTATCGGTAATCGGAAAATAAATTAGGGAATGCATGCACTTTCTCTTTTTGGTGAAAATTTGTCACCAAAATTTCTAGATTTTAGGCAAATTATTTCATACGAAGTTTCTCCCAGAACGATTTGTTACCAGGTTATAAAAAATACTAACTTTCACCTTGTTTTCGTTAATCTGAGACAAATTAGTGGATGCATGCACTCTTTTTGGTGACAGTTTATCACCATAATTTTCCAATGTTAGTCAAATTATTTACTACCAAGTTTCTCCGAGAAGGATTTATTACCACGTTATAAATAAAAAATACTAACTTTCACTTGTTTTCACCGCTAATCGAGAGACAAATTATTGCATTCGTACACTCTTTTTGGTGACAATTTGTCGCCAGAATTTTTTTTTGTCCACTTTCACCTGTTTCTCGGTAATCGGAAAATAAATTTGTGTATGCATGCACTTTCTCCTTTTGGTGACAATTTGTCACCAAAATTTCTGGATTTTAGGCAAATTATTTACTACCAAGTTTCCCTGACAAGGATTTGTTGCCACATTACAAAATTGGGCACTTTCACCCACCTTTTTGTTCACAGGGTAAAAAAATGGGGTACTTAATTTGTCACGGAGTGTATTTTTTTATCAAAATTAGACATAAAATTTAGTGGATAACTATTTGGTAACAAATCTTCACCGGTGACAAATTATTACCATATTATTTACATGTACGAAGAAAGCATCACCATTACAGTTTTTTACTGGGCTCGTTCACCCACTTTCTTTGGCAATAACTGGAAACGATTTGTCCTCATTTTGTCAAATTATTCGGTAACAAATCATCACCGATTCTTTGGCAATAACTGGAAACGATTGGTCCTCATAAATTCGGTATTTTTTTCAAATTATTGGGTAACAAATCATCACCGAGACAGTTGACAGTTTTGTTACCAAACTATATAACCTTATAAACTTCGCAATTATGCATACATCGGTATTACCGGTGACAACTTGTTACCACGTTATTTACATAGTTACTCCAGGAGAAAGCATCGACATAATGTTGTAAAAAGGTGGTCTCATTTACACACTTTCTCTCCCTACTGGAAACAATTTGTCCTCATAAATTCGGCATTTTAGTCAAATTATTCGGTAACAAATCGACAATTTTATTACAAAAAATCTAAAAACTTCGTAATTACGTCCCTTCCGTAAAAAAAGTGGCCACTTTCACCCACCCATTTATTCGGGACACATGGTACAAAATGTGTCACAGACTATATTTTTTACCAAAATTTGGGCATGAATTTACTAAAATTTTAGCACATGTGCAACTCTTTAGTAACAAATCGTTACCAGGGACAATTTTGTCCTGGCATTATTTACATACTTGCTCGGAGAGAAAGCTAAACTTACATTTTTATGAGGATGCATTTATCTCTTAAAAGTGAGCTCGCACGTGTGTGACACAGGTAACGTAACCGCACGGTTTTCGTTTTTTGGCCAGCCTATTTATCAACTTTCCCCTTCAGGACGACGACGTGGCCAATATTGCTTTCTTTCGTCATGACGATGATGATGATGATACGCGTACGTATCTCATCTCAGCGTGGTTTAGCTTTCTCCTTGGCGAGCGATATATCAACTTTGCTCCTCTGCTTCCCACTCGTTTTTTCCTCCTCCCTTCCCTTCCCTTCTTGAAGACAACAATCAATGGGTGTATATTTTTCGCAAAATCCGACATCATCTAACTGACTCTGAGTCTGACTCGGCAGTGGCGGCGGAACGGGGGGGTGGGGACAATAAGAAAAAAAATGGGAGAGTTCCGTATTTTTGGGGATGTTGTTGGGCAAGGTGGGGAATTTTACGGTGTACATTTTTCTGTGGGGGGGGGGGTATCCTTTTAAATCATCAATTAGTGTAATTTTTCTGTAATTTTGTTGTAATTTTGGGGAATTTGAAAATTGCGAATGGTAAGTTTTGTGCGAAATTTCAGAGGGCAAATTTTGTGCAATATTAGACAATTGCGGAGGATAAATTTTGTACGAAATTGCGAAGGGTAAATTTTGCGCGAAATTTCACATTTTTGCGTAACATTAGAAAATGGCGGAGAGTCCGTTCTGTGTGAAATTAGAAAATTGCGAATTGTAAATTTTATGCGAAAATGAAAAGTTACTCGTTGCAAATGTAGATTGTAATTACATATTTCCATAATGGGGACATGTTGTCCCCGTTAAACTGAATATTTTTATGGATTCAGTACATTAATCGATTTGAAAATTTGCATTGAAGTTTTATGCGAAATTTTGTACACCTGAGTCCTACACTTTTTGCATTTTTTATTGACATAACTTGTCTGAGTTGAGTTTTTCTGTAATAAATATTTTGCTACTAACCATTTTTCAAATATTTCCTTTTCATCGCGTACAATTCAGATTATTTCATCTCAATTAGAAGAATTAAGCTTTGGGGTCACGTTGCCAAAAAAAATATTTAAAAAAATTCAGAATTACGAACCAAAAAATGACCAAAAAATCCTTTGAGATCACATTTCCAAAAAAATTGTAACAAAATATCACAATTTATAACCAAAACCTTCACGTGAAAGTCACCACCTGATTTTCTCCCTTTCCGCGGGCACTGCATTCTTCTCCTCTCATAATACACTTTTTCCCTCAGTACATCCCGAATTCAAAACGTGTCCCGACTTTTAAAAGATGCAAACAAGTCGGACACAGAATGATAAATGCGCTTTTTGCCCAAAACATTATTTCCTCTCGAGAGAGAAATGAAGAGAAAGCAAGCTCCCACCAAAAAAATGGCCGGGACGACGACAATAAGTCCACATTTTACATATTCACTTTCTCCTCCTTACTTTCTCCCCCCATCAAAACTTTACTGCGGTTTCTTATTTTATTTCATTTTATTTCACCTCCCATTTCACCAACCATTTCCTGTTTTCCAAAGAGAAAGTAAACACAAAATCGACACGGAGAAAGCAAAAAAGAAAGAGAGATTGCTAAATAACGAGTTTTTTGTTACCTCTTGACGGAAACCTGGGGCAAGTTGAGATTTTCCACAAATCTGAGCTACTACTTTCACTTCAAGTATCCTCCTCACTTTCTCCCGTCCACAACTAAAAAAGTCGACACACTCAACCCAACCAAATATTTTCTTCTTGCGATCTCCTCCACCTCCACTTTCACCCAAAGTCGAAAGTCCTTCACTACTCGAGAGAAGAGAGAAAAGAGAAAGTAAGAGGAACCGCTTTCACTCAGGATGATCTGATCTTGACCAAACTTTTTTTCCGAGCGGAAATGGGGTACAAATTGGTAAAAGAGAAAGAGAGGTTCACATGTCAAACTGTGTTCTTCTTCTTGTCCTTGTTCTTTAAGAACAGAGAGAGCTGAAAGAGCTAAAAGAGAGAGAGAGAGCCGAGTTTGAGACGATCCAGTCTCTGTCGCTGTCTTCCCCAAAGTGAGGCTGGTTGCGAGACTATATACTCCGAATTTAGTGGTGGGTAACATGCGCGCAGGAGCCCGGTTTTTACTTACTTGGAGCTGGTTTAGTTAGTTAGTTGGTTACATGGGAACGAAAGGACAAAATATTCATGGATATTTATGTAAGTATCATTTTTGGCGAGGGTCACTTTCACTTTGGTTCTTCATTTACATGTGATGCCTGGCTTTCACTTATTTTACGAGCAATTATGGTTATTGTTCAGAAGCCTGGGGGCAAAATTTGTGGAAAAGTTGGATTCCGAGGAGTAGACTGGACAGTGGGCACGGATTTCTATTTTCTGTCCAATTTGTACCCGTCGTCCCTTTTTCACGGGGGAAAAGTGGCTTCATTTTTGACGACGGGGAAGAGGACACCAGGTTTTTGGTAGGGTTGGTTACCTGAATGCTTCGTGTTAAAGTATGTAAGTTCGTTGAGGGAAGATTTGCTACATTTCTTGCAGCACAAACCGAGAAACGCAAGAAATGCGAGGTGCAAGAAACTGGGAGAAAGAATGAGAAACATGCACAATCTAGCCACGCGCCGTATAAAGTATAGCGGCAGAAAGTTGTTTCTTGCAGGTCAAAATAGCTTAATGAAACAAATTCTTGCAGGTTTTGCTACATTTCGTGCGCTGCAAAGCAGAAAACGCAAGGTGCTAGAAACACCAAGAAACATGCGCCGTATGAAGTATTTATAGCGGCGGGAAGGAGTTTCTTGCGTCTTGCATTTCTTGCAGGTCAAAACATTTAACTGCAGGAAACCCACATTCTTATGGGTTTGCTACATATCTTGCAGTATAAAGAAAACAAATGGGGGGTAAAAGCACTTCAAGAAAGTGCAAACAAAACATGCGCCATCTATCCACTTGCCCTAAGAACCATAGAAGCGGGACGTAGTTTCTTGCACCTTGCATTTCTCCCAGGTCAAAATATGTATTTACCTGCAAGAAACCACTTTCTCCCCGGTTATAATTCTCCCACTATTTCGTTACTTACCCGCACCCGATCCATTGCCTAAATTATTAACCATCTATGTATCCATCTCCCCCCAAAAACGTGTCTATCTATGCACTGAATTAAATAAATAACTATCTCTCTCCACAAAAATTACGTACGTATTTTGGCTGCCACGAAAATCCAGCTCGGGACTGAATGAAATGAAGGAGAGATTCAATCAACACCACTTTACCACGCTTGTTTTATTAGACTAACACTTCACCAACCACGGGGACGACGATGCCACTCCACCCTTCATGTCCATCAATTAATGTCATCACTCACACACTACTCACTCAAACGGGATAACTTACAATATGGAGATTAGGGATGGATGGATTGATAACTCTAAAACATAATCATATGAGAGAGAGATAAAAACAGGGCGGGCGGAAGGACGAGGTGGGACCGAGGGGGAAGGTCGAATTCTGTCCTAATTGATAAAAGAGGGATGTATCCTGTATTTTGCATAAATTGGTTTTGCATAATCAAGCACAAAATTTGTACAGGGTGTATTATGCAGAACGGTATTTGCATCGGTTGTATTATGCAGAAGGGTATAGAATAATTTTATGGATAATTTTTTGCATAAAATTTTGCTCAAAATTATGAAAGAAAGTAGTTCAAATTTTTACTGTCGAGTAGAAATCACTTTGATTTTATGTGCATAATTGTGTACATAATTTTCTGCATAAATCACTCTGCGTAAAATTTTTCTGTATAAAATTTATGCACAAGATCGCGACAAATTTCTGCAAGAATGCCAAATTTTCAAATTTTTACTCGAGAATAAAAATTATCCCAATGTTCTACACCTAACTTGTGCAAAATTGGGGCAATAAAATTGACCAGCTTAATAACATTGCAAACATGCGAATAGAACATGATATACCATTTTTGGGGGGGACAAAATTGTCCCCGCAGTTGTGCCGCGCCTGGATAAAATAATAATAATAATAGCTCTAATACAATCAGCCGTGATGAGACGTGATGGTTGAACGAGTCCGGATGGATTCTTCTCTCTCTCTCTCTCGTTTTTTATTAAATCTTTATCCTCGGTAATTATTTATGTCGTTATACACACATCCGACGTCCCTATTTATTCACTTTGATGGAACGAAAAGTCTCTCATCCAAGTAATAAAAAGTGGCAGCAAAAATCCATTCTGCAGGGTGGGCTAAATCACGGCACTGTGTGGTTTACTGTGATTTCAGTGAAATAAATATGGGATTTGTGAGATTTTGGCGCAAGGTAATGTTGGGAAAATCACGGCACAGTGTGATTTACTGTGATTTATGTGAAATACGTATGGGATTTCTGTGATTATGGCTCGAAATAGGGTGGGAAAAATCACGGCATGATGTGATTTTCTGTGAAATATGTGATTTTTGGGATTTCTGTGATCTTTTATGGCAAAATGAAACAACTTTCTTCCTTAATTGGTATGCCTTAGGGTTTGATAAATCACATCGAACTGGTTAAAATCACGTTGTGGTGTGATTTTCTGTGAAATACAGGTGGGATTTGTGGGATTTCTGTGAGAACAACTTAACTTTCTTTAATAAACGTTTTAGATTGAGACAAGATTTTTATTGGGATTCGGCACAAAATTCTACGTATTATCATACAGTGGTAAAAATCACATTGTTATGTTTGTGATTTACTGTAAAATATATTTCACGTGATTTCTGTGATTAAGCTGGCTTAAATACATACGTGTTTTAAAATAAGACCAACTTGATATTCGGATTAACCCCGAAATTCTGACCATTTTCAGACACGACTCGTCCCTCCGTTTTTTGAGCAACTTTCACCTTTCCCATACAAATCTCATGCAAACTGCGACTTTCTACAAGTCAGGGCAAGTCGGATAGAAAAATGGTGAGAATTTCGGGCTGAATCCAAATATCAAGTTGGTCTCGTTCTATAATGTATTTTAACCAAGTTGTCTCACTCTCCCCACTAGTAATGTCACAATTGAAGATCAAACCCTGCCCCAATCCAGGATTGATTTAGAAATACATTTGTCAATCTGTGTACGCTTTGTTGCATGTTAATAGGAGAAACATACATAAGTACCTGAAAGGTTTGCACAATGTTCCATAAAATTTGCGAATCTTGTCATATTAACCCGACAAACATATTTAATTTTTTAGACCAAACCCTATAGTTTCCATGTTCAAAGTATTTAGCAAAATGCAAAAAATCGCAACATTGCAAAAAAGCCGGCACTTGGACCAAGACCACCCCACGTTTCCCACGTTGATCGGGATCATCTACCCCCATGTTTTCTCAACCTCTCATAAATCTAACTACCTCAGATCAGAGATCACCTTTCCGTCGCTATAGCAACCGTGTCATTTCTCTCTTTAAGAAAACCCTCAACTTGTTTCTGAGAATAAGAATAAGAATCAAGAGAGAGAAAAAAATTCAATCCGGTTTTTGTCAGTTTCATTGCACAATTTTTTTTATGAGTTGGTTCAACAATCTAAAAGTCACTTAGGAGCGACGGCATCATTCTTGTCGTGGAGAGTTGAACAAATAATCTTTAAATAAAAGCCGTCCTTCTTGGAACAAGTTGTACAACTAAATAAACCCAACAAAACGACGACAACAACAACCACTACCACGAGGACTTTGTTGATTGTGTATAATTCGCACAGGGTTCGGAAGCTGCTAAAAATAAATGTATGGAAAATTTACGTTTCTTTTTCTTTTTCTGCTCGAGATACGTGCAGAATTATGAACAATCATGCTTTTCTAGAGAAAAATTCGTTTTATGAACCCTTGAACTTCTGAAAAACACGGTGTTTTCTCAATTTAAACAGAAACTTTCGTTCTTGCATTTATTTTAAAATACCGTGTTTGTAACATTTTTGTATAAAAACACAATTTGCAAACCTTCATATTTCCAGAAACTTTGTTTTCTCAACTTTTGTGCATTTGCCAATTTCTCAATAAAGCTATATTTTCCCAAAAACACCACATGGTTTAGCGTTCCCTACAAAATAAAGTGTTCTGCTCATGTTTTTTCACATTTCCCTTAAAAAACGCATGTTGAACCTCTCATATTTCTCAAAAACACAGTGTTTTACTTTATATGGACACCTCCATTAAAAAAATAATAAATTTGTGTTTTGCACATTTCACAAAACCTCATATTCTCCCAAAAACACCGTGTTTTCTAAATTTTTCTGAAACCCCCTATTTTAAAAACGCACATATTCGCCCATCTCAAAAACACCCTGTTCTCCTTAACATACAAAAACACACACATTTCATCCGCTTCCCATAAAAAACACAATTTTTCGCTCTCTTTTCAAAAAATCTGTTCCCAATTTTTGTGGCACCCTGTCCTCGTTCCTCCACCGAACCGTGAAATACATAGAATCCATCCATTAACAAACCCTCTGGATTTGGATCCCTCTTCGGAAATGGTTTCCCCGATGGCGAGACAGAATCGGATCAAAATCATGCCAGCAGATTATTATCATCCGATCCTCCTCGCTCACAACAATTATAAAATTAAATCGCGATGGTGATTGAGCACTGTGTTACGTTCACGTAATTCTCTTGTGACATGCTTGCTCTCTCTCTCTCCGCTTACACCCAGTTAAGCAGGCTTATCTTCAAGAGGAGCTTATCATCAGAGTCATCATCATCATCAAAATCAGCACAAAGTAAATACGTGATTTGTTCCTCTTCTCCAACGACGTCGTTGTCCTGACCTGATTGATGGCGAATTGTGTGATGAGATTTTTACATACGGAATTTTTTTTGATGAGTTATTATTCACCTTTTTTAATTTGGAAACCGTTCCCGACAAACATTATCTTTCAGAAAACATGTTTTTCTACTTCTGAAAATTTTGGGGGTGTACAATTTTCGGGGTATGTCTATTTTTTCGAAAAACATGTTCCAGAAACATTTGGATAATGAATTGTGTGATGAG